ACGATCCGCCAGTCATCGCCGACGGTCTCTATGCGTCACTGTTTCTTCCAGACTCTACGCTCCCTACACCAGCTCATTTATCCCCCAAAGGACCATGGCCCAGGGGTGCTTCCCACAGCTTCATGCTTTGGCTCTCAGTCCCCAGAAATACGTTCCTGCGGGAAAGCCACACATCACAGAACCACAGATTCATGGGGAAGGTCCATCCGCCCTCCGAGCAGTGAGGAGCAAATGCTCAGGAGCAGGAGCACAGAGCGACCCTTTGCCTCACGCACCCTCTGCGTGGTTTAGGTTAGGAACACAGTGTGAATCTCGACCCCATTGTGGTTTAACCCCAGTTGGGAACTAAGCACCACACAGCCGCTTGCTCACTCTACCCGCACCCGGTGGGATGGGGGAGAGAATCGGGGAAAAAAAAGTAAAGCCCGTGGGTTGAGATAAAGACACTTTAACAGGACAGCAGAGGAGGAGAAAATTAAATAATAATAATAATAATAATAATAATAATAATAATAATAATAAAGACTATACAAAGCAAGTGATAGCTATACAATTGCTCACCACCCGCCGACCGATGCCCAGCCTGTCCCCTAGCAGCAATCGCTGCCCCCCAGCCAACTCGCCCAGTTTCTATACTGGGCGTGATGCCATATGGCATGGAATAGCCCTGGGGCCAGTCTGGGTCACTGTCCTGGCTGTGCCCCCTCCCAGCTCCTCGTGCACCGGGCAGAGCAGGGGAAGCTGGAAAGTCCTTGACTTAGTGTAAGCGCTACTTAGCAACAACTGAAACATCAGTGTGTTACCACCTTACACTCATCCTAAATCCAAAACACAGCACTGTACCAGCTACTAGGAAGAAAATTAACTCTATCCCGGCTGAAAGCAGGACAGCTGTGTTTAGCAGTCCTTCAGGAACTGCTCCTCTACCAATTTACGCAACACCTTTCTAAATTCATTTGTATTTTTGACCTCCACAACACAGCGGTGGTGATGCACAATTAAATTGTGCAGTGTGTGGAAAAACGATGTCCCTCCCTTGAATCCTGCTGCCTAGTAACTTCACCCAGTGCCTGTTAGTTGTACTGGCAAAAGAAACGCTAAATAATCTTTCCTATTCATCTTCTCCATACCACTTACCATTTTAAATAGCATTATCGCAGTCCTTCTCCCTGTCCTCCTTTCCAAACTCCCTTGCTATCTCCTCGAACAAAAGCCATTCAACACCTTTCATCACCCCCATGCCTTTGATCACCCCTCATTTCGTAACCTCTTCATAACCTTGTGATCGGAACCCCCGTGTTCACGACACAGAAGAGCAGTGAAAATCCATACACTGAGAGCATCTTCCATTTTCTTCTTCATTGACATCTCGCCAATTCCCAGCATTTACTGGACCTTCCCTGCCCCCTTTTTCTAACACCCATGAGGATAAAGGAGACGTTACCAGAGAGAGCTGAGCCCACCGCCTATGTGGCGTTGCGATCGCTTTCTTTCTCCTGCACGCATTACCTGACATTTGTCAAAATGGAATTCCTCCGCTGCTCCATTTACTCAGTTACCCAGTGTCACAAAATTCAGTAACCCTTTCTAGTCAGCTTCACTTCTGATTATCGTGAAAAATGGCATATAACTCCCACAAATTACATCGCCTTGCTATTAATTTTTTTCCTTAGATCATTTATGAATATGTGGAAAAAACCAGGTCACAAACTGTCACTAGTAAAGAAGCTATGTACTCCGTTCTTCCTAGCTTTTATCTAATTGCTAATCCATGAGCAAACTTTTCCTCTTCCTTTATAGCTTCATAGTTCAAGAACTTTTGGCAAGGGACCTCAAGAAAACTTTCTGAAAAATTCAAGTGCATTATGATGATCAAATCGACCACACGCATTTGCTTTTTGACTCCCTTAGAAATTTCTAGTAAGACCTGGAGGACTGACCTTCCTCCGAAGGAGCTGTGCTGGCTCCCTCCAGACATACCAGGTGCATTTGGGGATCGACTTGTTCAAGTACCCGCGGCTCGGATCGACCCGCCCGGTCAGGCTTCTCTTCTGTAGTTCCTCAGGTCGCTCCTGGAGGAGATCAGTGAAACCAGCGTCCTGCCCACCTGGCTGGAACCCTTCCCGGTAGCTAAGTAACGTATGTCATGTCCGAGTTCCCTGAAAATCTTCTGTTCTGGTCCTTGACATCAGTCACTTCAAAGCTTTAACTCCACTGACATTTCCAGTTCTCTGACGTACACCCAAGAGAAGGCTCTGCCCTGAGGAGAACCTGCTGCAGTGAACAGAAAGGCAGCGTCTTTTCTGCCACAGCCTTATTTCTCCTTGATCACTTTTCACACTTTTGCCGAAGCTGGTAAGATGGCAGGTGACCAGGCGTTAATTCTAATGAATGTGAACGTTTTTGTACGCCTTCAGCAAGTTTCTCTTTGAGATCGTTCTGGTTGCCACAGAGCAGCTCTGCATTGCACTTGACAGATTGCCTTTTCTATTTTCTTTTTTCGGACAGAACTTCTGTCTCCTAGGAAGATGGCGTTTAACGTTAAATAGCCTCTCCGGCTCTGTTAAAGTACACTGTTATTCCTGAGATCTTCTGGAGTGTTTTGATAAGCGACCTGCCCCTGGGCCGAGTTTCTAATGCTCTGTCTTGAAGCAATCTCCACGTTACAAGCCCTTAAACGCTTTTCTTTTGACAAACCTCCTTGTTTTGCATAGCTCCCCTTTCCAAAGTTAAACATTGCTATTGCATGTTTTGCCGTTTTTTATTTCTACAAGGATGCTAAATTTGAATACCTTATGGCTACTCTTACAGAGCAGCTCTTCAACAGAAAGATCTGGGAGCACGTAAGGTTTTGATACGCTCCCGAACACATTTTTGTTGTTGCGGCCTTCAGTTCCTCCAAGATAGGTATGGTGTTTAAGACTCAGTTCTTGTGCTTGCACCGTGTTTCACAATGACAACTGTGCAGCGTGCACCAGACGATGGCTCGCTGTGATGAGGCCAAGAGCCAAAGAAGCCAAGAGAAACCGTTCCGAAGGACTAACCAGGAGCCTGGTCAGAGGCCGAGCTGAGGATGCCAAGAGATACGTTGTTCCAACACACAATTTAAGATAACATGCAGAAGCTCAGGGAGAGGGAGCAGGAATACAGCCTTTCCAACCAGGAAAGGAATAGTCTGCGTCTGGATCACGGAGCCTGGAACACGGCTGAAATTAAACGGCAAATGAATTGGAAAAAGCAAACTGCTTGGTATTGCCTCAGCTCCCAGATATGCAAAGGCAACGACCGAAAACGTGCAGGGGCCAGTTCTCAGCCGGGCTGGCGCAGCTCCCTGTTGTGAGGGGGATCGTCTGCTGCCAGCTACGGGGCCGGGAGCTGCCACAAAGGCTGACAGGAGCGGCTTAACCGGGAGGGGGACGTACCACCGAGCACCGAGTGAGGAGAGCTCCGAGCCGGCTTTTACAGGGCAGCGAGACATCAACAAATCCAGGTGTAGCTCCGAGCTCAAATTTGTTACATTTGTGTTGTATTTACATTCTTTAGACAAACATTTCCTTTCTCGCAGTGCTCAGCTTTGCGCAGAGTAAGCGTACGCAGAAAGAGCAAGCTTAACGGAGCAGAGTTAGAAACCTGCCACTATCTAGCTTCACGAGGAAGTAAAATTTGCAACACTTGATTTAGAATGTGAATCTACACCGCCATCTGCAGAAAGCAGATTGGCAAATTAATTGGCTACCAGTATAGCAGCAATTAAAAGTGCCAAAATGCAAATATTGGGATGCAAGTATGGTACAGAATCAGGTGGAAGAAGAGAAAAGGATATATGTGCCATGACACCATTATCACAGCTGACAGATTCTGCACAACGTATGCTGTATCTCAGGAGAGGAACATATTTTATGCATTATTCCTTCAATGTCGTTCTTTTTCCTCCTTTTAGGAGGAAAACGGATCTTTTTCTGTTTCTCCCACATCCTCTCAGCACCATTTTGCAACTCGGAGGTACGGCGACTGTACGATGCGCGCGCTGTACCACGGCAGCTCACTCCAAACCCCTTCTCCTGTCCGAGGTGCTCGGCCACAGGACTGCAGCAGAATTATTACTGAAATCCCATCACAAGAAAAAAAAAAAAATAGCCTCTGAGGCAGCAAAAACTTGCGTGCCTGACTTTGTTATGATCGGCCTGGAAAGCGGCAGCGGCCCGCGGCCGTGAGCCAACCCACGCCCTGAGCGCGGGAGCCAGCTCTGCATCTCAGACCAGCTCTGCCTCCCTTTCCCCCGTGAGATGTACGGGCCATGGCGACAGGAGCGATTCATGGTTCGTGAAGCAATGTGACTACGAACAAATGCTTTATCTGAGTATTTATTATAGAACAAGTAACTGATTTCCTCACATAATTCCCAATAGACGCTGTGTCTCCTCAGGAAACACCTTTTAGGAGAAGCACTGAGCGGCCTGTTCTGCCTCTCT